TCCAGAAACTATTCCAATTTTAATGACATTTTCTTAAATTTGTTGTGGTCATCAAGTATGTTCTCAGGTCATCACTGTTGTGCCAAAATTGTGTCTTCCACCAATCTCATCAAGACATCTGCTAAGACTCGCGCCTTTCTTCAAGATCAGGCCAGCCGCCTGTCCACACCTGGCCGTCCCCTCACAGACAACAGGGAACCACCCCTGACACTTCTTGGAAAACTTTCGCTGGGGGTCATTCACCACTTATCCCCGCAACATGGTCGGGCCCGTCCGCTTTTCCCATCATCGCAAAACCTCGCAAACAAATCAGGTCTGGTTTAAACATTCTGAAAGCCTTGTGGGAAATGCTTTGCTTTCTTTCTTTCATCTGTTTCCGATTTGTAGGAAAGACGGCAGTGCGCAAGACTGGCGTCCCCTTCCAGACAAGGCGGTCTACAATGAATAATGAAGTACCCCCAACGTAGCGGACAACTCAACAGCAGAAACCATCCGATATTTACCCCCAAATCATGAGTTTAGGAGGAGAATAGTGCCGTAGTTTGGTGCAGAAAGTGCCTGCGGAGGGTTGTTTTGGACTGTTTTGGTTAAAAATGACCCGAGCGCTACGGGGATCCATTCATTTGTCGGGGCGGGAGGTCCTGTGGGTGCGTGGGGGCCGACCGATCATGGCGGAGACAGTGCCACGCACAAAAACAGCTCAGCAGAAAACTCGCTCCGCCGCCCAAACACACCACAACGACACACTCAGCGGAGGCAGGACGTGAATCCAGGCGGTACTTACCATTCTGTGGGGAGAATGCGCCCGATCACTCCTCTTCAAACGGGGAAAATTGGGGAAAATTCACCAAATATCGTCCTTCCGCCCCTCACTGTCCCTCAGCCATAATGGACAATCCCAGAAAGCAGTTCGATCAGGGTCGAACCATTTCTCATTTCGGATAGGGGTGCCAGGAAACTCTTCGAGATAAGATAAAAGTTACGGCAAGATCAAGAACTTTTCTTACGGATTAAATAACATTATAGAAAGACAAATGAAAATTTATAGATGTCAACCGTTGTTATGAAAATTTTAGTTTTTGTAACCTTCCAATATGAATTTTCAAATTGATTAAAATAAATTATCATTAGTTAAAAACAAACTTTAACGTTAACCAAGGACATTACACAAAGTAAACTTAACGTTGCTTCAATTATGGAAAACTTTACTTCAAGTCCAAAAATATTTTGCTCTGTCTATGATATTTTGGTTTTTGACAGATTCATATAAAAAGGCTAGACTCAATCATCAATTTGACCATCCTTCCATTCATTCAAGGTGATATCTTTGAAACTCTGAAAGATAAATTAGTGGCTGAATATTATCAATCACCCAACTCTTCCACTGTAGCAAGATATTACGCCTTTTGGAATGGCTAGCGCTACTTCTGCAACTTATTAGGGATAGCCCAGTAATGGTGATGGGGGAGTGGAGTAGGTGCTGCATTTTTTTGTCATGTCAGCAGTTTTTCAACTTGCAATTTCTAACTATAGTTATATCAATAAGTCCTGAGTACAATGCATTATGAATATAATGAGTATAATGCAATAAATACAGTAAAACAAAAAGGACTAGAGCAGTTATACCTGTTTTTATTTGAAAAATAATAGGATTAAAGTATTACTATAATAGTTGGATAGTCAATATCCAGACAAACTATCAAGTTGACTACTTGTTGGTGTGCATATCAAAGTTGTCTCTGTAGTGTGTATGTCAAATACAGATCAAATTGTAGTACTATATAGTATTATTATAAAGTGAACTACCTGAAAACAGTTTTCCAGCTACATAAGCTACACGGTATAATAAGTCTATCATTTTAGTGAGTAATGTTATGTAGTAACATCATGTGTTTTTATAAATGGATTGATAAATTAACATGATTTCAAATATAATGAAAGAATCTAACGTTATATACTGTGTCCAGGTTGATAACACATCATTATCAAATCTATAATAAATCATGATTATACAGGAGTATCCTTCAAGTTAACTCAATCCTTCCCATATCAAAAACTAAAAATTCAGTCTCTTGCACATTCTTACATTACATCTATAAGATAATAATTTTATCTATGTTAATATAATGAAACAGAAATATTGTTGTAATTATGTTATGACAAATTACCACTTTTCATGCTAGCATTCATGTATGGCTTTTGCTACAAAATTGCACTTTCAACATTTCTAGGTAAAGACAGAAATCATTTGTAAAATGGACTGGTCCCAATCTACTGTTGTTGAGTTTTGTTGCATTATAGCATTGCCGAACAGTTTCATGTCTTGGGGCTGCTATTAGAGCAAAAAGGAAGAGAGAGACACTGATTAAACAACTATGGTAATGATATTTTGTTATATAAACGTTGCTTGATATTTGCTGTGCTTTATCTACAAGTAGCTATAAAATGTTACAAAGAAATACTATACATTTCTGTTTTGAAGTAGAAGGTTTATCTAAATACAATATGTACAATTGTCTCTGTCTATATCAAGAGTCAAGAGTTTATATGTGAAATGTTGTCTTAACAACTGACATAGAAAGTGGGTTCATAGTTCGTACATAGTATGTTGAAGTTTTAGAAGGAAGTCATTCGTTGTTAGTGTCCATAAGGGAGGCCACTTTCCTCAGTCGAAGGGTTGAGCATGAGCTGAGACATCATCGGTGGAAAGGTGGGGGGGAGGTTATAAGAACCATACCCCTGGGGCATGGTGTGTGGGGGGACGGGGGGCTGCACTGGCGGGGCGGGGGGTCTGTGAGGGGTGTTCGGATCAAACCCCAGGTTCCTCAGCTCCCCTATGTTAATGGTTCTGGACTGCTGATGGTACAAGGTTGTTTGTTGTTGTTGTTGTTGTTGTTGTTGTGTTGTGACAGGTTGGTTCTGTAGTTCAGCCATCCCGAGTGGAGGCTGTGCCCTGTTCTGTTGGACCTGAAGCTGGTCAACCATCTGTAAGGCCCGGGCGTGCTGCTCCTGCAAGTCCTGTATGTTCACATCAATTGAGGATGTCTGTGGGTACGGCCTATTGGGCACTTCTTCTGGGGCGTTAGATGACTCGTTACTAGCATCGCTGGCATAATCGTGGTCATGGTGAGCCAGTGAGGCGGACTCTCCTTGGTTGGTAAACTCGGCCGGCGCAGGTTCTGTTTGCGCTGGCTCCATCTCAGGCATTGTCGGGTATTTGTAGTTCGGTCCCTTTCGGCGAGGTTTGGGAACCTGGGCGACTTCGTTCTCTCCATGGGACTTCAGAACGTGCTCGCGGAGTTTCCCCAGTCGGGCGTGTCCCTTCCCGCAGACGTGGCAGCGGTAGGGGAGGGAGTGGGTGCTGCCGTGCTGCTTCAGGGTGTGGAGCTGGCTGAAGATCTTCCCGCACACGTCGCACTTGTGTTCCCGTGAGGCTGAGTGTGTACGCTGGTGAGCGTACAGGCCGGACGTGGTGGAGAAACGAGAACCACACGTGTCACAAACGTACGGTTTTTCACCTAGAGCACAGTTTGTAAGAAGAGATTTTCTCAGCCAACGGGTATTCATATTGCATTTGAAGATAAAACTGTTTAATGTAAAACTCGCACAAATGGCAAATTCCTTATGTTCTCTTCTAAAGAGACGTTTATTCTACTATCACCCCAACTCAGTTAGCAGCTACAAAAGATCTTATGACCATCTTATGACCATTGCTACATTTTCTTGCACTTGATAGCATTTGAACTGAAGCAATCTTTTTGAATACTAGTGTAAAGTAGGCCTCAGGAGAATTACTCATTTTGAAAAAAAAAAGCCCGGATAGAGAGAGGTACTGAATCTAATCTGCCAAAGCCGTTAGGAAACTTTTGGGACAATGTTACGGCCATGCAGCTTTAGTTTAAGGGTCTCACCTGTATGAATCCTTTTATGTCGTTCGAGCTCCACTCGCACAAAGAAGGCCTGGGGGCAGCGGTCACATTTGAAGGACCGTTCCATGTTATGTTTCTTGACATGAGTCAGTAGGATGGACCTGATTCTGAACTGCTTGCCACAAATCTCGCACATGTGGGGCATGTCTCCCGTGTGCATCTTACTCATGTGCATGTCAAACTGGTTTCTGTGCACAAAGGTGGCGCCACACTCGCCACACGTGTACGGGTGCTCCCCTGTGTGCAGGCGCAGGTGGCATTTCAGGATTTTCTTTGATTTGAGCTTTGCTCCACACACCTCACAATCATAGCCATCTGGAAAGGAAGGGGAAGAACGACGGGTGAGAATCACAGAACTAAAAAGCAACCAAAGTTTTTTGTCATTTGAAATTCAAGATAAACCTAAGAGAAAGACGTAAATTTGGGCCTCCTACTAGAAGCACCTTTTCAGAGTGTAGTTATTATTTGGATGTTTTGTGAAAAATGTAACTTTTAAATACTCATAGATTAATGTTTTGTGGTATGTAATCTGAGTCTTTTGGGAAAAGGTGACTGAATATCTGCTCCACATAGGAACTTTTTGGCCAAGAAAAAATAAAACAGCCGCACCGTCACACCGCAGTCTCTAAAACAAAATGTTGTTGACAACTGTAAGAGGCCCCTTTGATGATGAGAATGAGAGTGAGGTTGTAGAGCTGTTAACAAAGACACACCAAACTTATCCCAAACTTGTGCAGAACTCTAGTCCTGGGTATTACAAAAATGAGGTTTTGTTACACACATGCAAAAATCACAACTAAAATAATCCAGAAGGAAGGCGCAGTACCAGGAAAATTTATTACTTCTGAAGTGTTATGTTATCAGAGTTATCAGAGAGTTAACAAGAGGTTATCAGTAGTGGTTATGAAGGAAAACAAAGATTATAGTAAGATAGGAAAGGTACGTGTTCTTGCAGGCTTGACTGGGCACTCTGAGTTGTTCAGTTTTAGATTTGCTTTCTTGATATGTTTTTTTTACATGTTACTTATAAGTTCATCCTTGTAACAGCAACAATAAAACCAATATATTCCCTTTGCTGAACATCACCAACTGGGCCACTAGAGAGTAGAGGGCCAGCAATCAAATTCACTATTGTTGGAACTGTCTCTTCCTCTCAAAAGACATGTACTGACTGTATATTGTATGTGTGTAAGAAAGAAGTCTTCTAATTCAAACTAGGAGATATGGGAACCTCCTTGATTCAAATAACAGATTAGGACCAGTCCATAACTGCCTGTTGAGAAAATTGATAAACCAAAAGAAAGAAGATAAGCATTCGTTATACAATGTACATGCATCTACTACTTACATAGGACATTACGTAATATTACTACTTACTTTAAAGCATAACTTTGTTATGTAACTTATTGTAAAGTATACATACTAGTAGTAGTCCATTTTAATAAATTACAATTAAAAAGTACTTAGTAAAGCCACTCCTTTGACCCTGGGAAACACCGAAATTCTTGACATCATTTTTTTCTTCTAACGGCAACTTACATTTCCTCTCCATGGCACAGTTGGCAAATTACAAATATACATTCATGTATTGTACAATTAATCAGGTCACAACATACCAAAGCAACAATTATTACCTCCTTTAATGAGGTTACATTCTACCAGCATTGAATTTCTTTTGTGTTTGGAACTACAACAGATTAAAAAAATGAATGGATTTCATCTGGCTAGAATGTTGGCAATCAACAGAAAACAGTTGACCATCTTAGGACAATCCCCCAGCATCTGGACATTGTAAACTGGGGTCCATAAACCAATCAGACATATCAGGCAGATTATTACCTGAACCCTCTTGTTTCTTGGCAGCCTCCTCTGCGAGAGATGCGGCAATGGGCGTTCCAGTGAGCGTATTCATCTTGATGTTCCTCTCGTGTACGCCCATGTGGCGTCTCAACTTCCACTTGTCCTTAAAGACTTTGTTGCAAACCTCGCACTTCTTCTCGTCCTTCTTGAGGTGGCTGGACATGTGGCCATACAAGGCAAAGTGCATCTGGAAGGACTTCTTGCAAAGATTGCAGCGGTAGGCATAATAGGGATTGGTGTGGGTGTTATGCACGTGCTGCATCAAGTCTGTCAGTTCTTGGAAATCCGTGCTGCAAATGCCACACTCGTAAGGATTCCCGTCCAACTGGATCTTTTTCATCTGTAAGGTTGAGATCTTTTCCATCTGGCGATTCACGGCAGGGTTGGACTTTTTCGGAGTGGGAACCCGCGTGTGGGTGACTTTGTGTTTACTCAACTTCCACTGGTCGGAGTACTGCTTTCTGCAATGTTCGCACTCATACGGAGGTCCGCCCAAGTGTTTCTTGAGGTGGGTGTGTAGGGCGACCGACTCGTTGAAACACTGTCCGCACACTTTGCAACGACAGAGCGCCTCTGTTTCTTCCTCGTGCTGTTCCTTCATGTGGTGGGCTAACAGGGTATGCACAGCAAAGCCAGTGTCGCACTTACTACACTCAAATGGAAGAGTGGACTCAATCTCGTGCTGTTTCTCATGTCGCTGCATGTGTCCAAACTGTACAAACTTTGTCCCACAGATCTTGCAGCCGAACGGCTTCACCTTGCTGTGTGATCTGACGTGCTGCTTCAGGTTGTGAAGGTTGGAACAGATCTTGCCGCAGACTTCGCACGCCAATGATCCTTCCTCCAGGACAGTCGCGTTCGAAAAGCTGGCATCAGACGCACTTTCTTCCCCACTTTCATCTGTCTTCTGCCTTTTCAAGGAAGGCATTTTGATCTTCAATGGGGCAACTTTACGTTCCTCTCCACCATCTCCCCCAGTGAGCAGCTTTCTCAGCTTTGAGCCTCCTTCTTCCAGTGATTGAGAGCCAGGTAGTTCATAATCTTCATCATCATCATCATCATCGTTATCCTGTTGGCCATCTGTCGACATACCGTCGTCCAACTGTCCCTCGTTTCCAGACACGTCCCACTTTTCCTCGTCACAGTCGCTGAAACTCTTACTATACAGATGTTCACTCTTGACCTCCCCCGCCGGCCTTTCCTGCTTGTTCAACTTGAGGAGAAACTTGTAACAGACCTCAGAAACGGCCGTGACCTTAAGAAGCTGTGCAGCCTCCAACACTGATCCAACGTTGTCAGGGTTCAGGTCCAGACTGGAGGTGTACGTGTGCTCCAGGATCTGACTAAAACCCTCTGCTGTGATGTCCGTGATTTCAACATACTGCATGCTGATGACCTCCTTCCTGGTGAAGACTGAGTTGAAGTAGCTGCTACAGGCAGCGAGGACTGCCCGGTGTGCACGGAAACGCTGCCCGTTAACCAGGATGGTGACATCGCAGAGGGAGTCGTCGATGCGCTGTTGGTTCAGGTTGTCTAGGATGGACTTGCTGTGACCCTTGGATTCATGTCTGTACAACCCTGATGTGGACGCCATGGTAACCTGTGAATTACAACATAATTTCATATCAGTTCATTTCTTGATATAGCTGTAACAGGCATGACCTGCAACCCCACTGTTACATAACTGTTACATCTTCTTTGCAAAGCACTTCTCTTTTTTGCTAAGCTGAGGGCAGTTAGGGATGTTGTTTGCTGAAGCCATGTATGCCTGCAGATGATTATTAACATTATAACTTGTGGCGTTAAACAACAAAACACTAAAGTTCCAATTTGAACAAGCTTTTAATTTCAGTCTCAAATTTAGTCTACAAACTTTATAACCTTGGAAAATAAGACTGATGCTATAATGGTTTCTATTATCACCCAAAAGCTGAGGGTTTAGCCAGTTGCTTGTACGATACCAGTTTTCAGCTCCGCCCTAGAGGTGTCGCCAAAAATATGATAATTTTGTTTTCCCCTGCGAGCGAGCGGTCTCTTGTGAAACAAACTAGTAACGTTACGTTCCTCCAATACAACCATATCGTTCCTGTTTCCTTGTCAGGAAGTAACAGCTACGTTCCTTGCACTTGATAAGCTTACGATCTGGCTAAACTTCTCCCCAAAGACCCGACAACGCAAACAAAGAAAAGATGTCCGCCAACGCCCCACAGTTAGCCCTGAACCCCCGACAACGTCACGTCGCCTTTCGGGGGAAATCGGACGGAGTCGCCTGGCTGTCGCCCCCGCACGAATCCCCGTGCTTTCCCCCTAGCCCATCCGCCGTTCTACGAGTTCCCAACAGTCCTTACCTCGTCCCAGGAAAACTGTTGTCTTCAACCCCCGAATGGATATCCGGCCAACATGGCTCCGACCCCCTGCGATGGATTAGCTAGGGATTTAAAATGAATGATGCCGGAGGTCAAAGGTAAGAGTTGGGCGAGTCCAATGACAGACGGGAGGTAACGTAATAACCGAGTTTTTAAAAAGTTTTAAAAAAGAATACATGATGCCATTTTAAAAAATGGCATCATGTTTTCTTTTTGCACAAAAAATTGATATATTCTAATTGAAAAAAAAATCTTCATGTGATTGTAATTTACTTCCATTTCTGACATTTATGGTGGGTGCTAAAACAGCCCACAAAAGAGCCAGTTGCTGGCACCACCACAAAACACCAGAATGTAAACAAACATGACAGCTGTGTTTCCAGCTTTTAAACATGCTCGTAAAGGAGGATTGATTCAACTTACTTCGCCAAAAAATGTCAAGAAAATTCACTTTTGTATTGTCATAATATTACATAATACAGCGAAGTGTTATTCCCCCTTTTATGAAGCTTAACATTCATATCAAACACTTACTGATAATTCAAATTAAGGAACTCTTTCACTAGTTTCTTAATCTTTACCTGAAAAGTTTTAAACTCCTTGCCTTTATCATAGTTGTTAGTTACTATTAGTAGTAAGTCTAAACTAAGTAAGTCACAAAGTGAGCAATGTGGCAGCAAAAGGAATTTTTAATAGCAAACCTTCATTGAAGTGTTCCTCTATTGTTTATACACGTAAGATTGTTGTACTGAAGATGTAATCAATCATTCTTTTGAAAAACTTAAATTATACAATAAATTTTGAAAATAATATGACATTCTATTTTTCATGATTTACAGTAGGGTTGCATTTTGGAAAACCTTCACTTGCAATACTAACTACATTGTACTACTAGTATGTCTCAAGTACTAGTACATCATTTGATTGATGACCAGTGACTTTTCTTATTCATGTCAGTGACACAGAAATGTCCCTATTAGTTAAAAAGAAGAATACTATGTAAACTACTGAAGGTTACATTTTGTTTTAGGATAAATAATGGCTGCCCACACAAGTGGAGATGTTCTTTGGTAACATTATATCAAAACAACAATCAGAATATTTTCTTAACCTGTATTTGTACTGAACACCTGCTGCTCAGTAAATGCAGAAAAGAGACACCTGTGTCTGTCTGGTACAATGTTTTACAGTGTTCTTTTTCATAAAAATTTTACAACATTTTTCACTATTTCCTTGTCATTGTCATCATCATTGCAATCCAATGGTGCAAAGGATAGTAGAGCTGGTTTCAGCCGCTCTTCGTGCTTTGAAAACTAAGGAGATAGGAACATTTTGTTCACATACAGTCAAGGAGATTTAAACTAAAATCTCCTTGATACAGTCAAGCTATATATCTGAGAACAGATACGCTGTTAAGATAAGTTTAGGATATAATCCTAACAAATTGGGGGTTAAAATGAATTTTTTTTAAATGTTGAGGTTGCAATAAGCCTGTAGTTGATCAGCTGACAGCAACATCTGCAGCTTTCCTGAGGTATTCTTCAGTAAACCTGCAGGCCTTGGGCAGGAGGATGAAGGAAGGTGTACCAGCTAGGACTCTGTACCTGTGTTGAGACACAATAATTGTTGTTAACAAAACATACATGTATACTAAGGCAGCACAGTTTCCCTAATTTACAAGGACCTGAACTTCCGTCTGCAATGACTTATAAACAGTTCTTGATGCTTAACTTCACTTGTTGCACCTTGTAACAAGGAGGACTGATGATGATAATTCCACTATTTCAAAAAGCAACTCATCTTACTTGGTAAATTACAGGTAAAACTATTCTCCAAGAAGCTTTGACTGAAGTCACCTGTGCATAAAATTAGTGTGATTAATTTCAGATACCAGTGGCTTATGAAAGACAACTTAGTGCATTAGTTGAAAATACAGGTGAGTCCAATTCTTTGAGTTGGACAACAGTTTAACTTTTTTTAAAGTTTTCCCAAATACTAGTAGTTTAAAATCCCAATTTTAATTCCCCTTTGTTTTCCCCATGTCTTCACAATTTTTCAAGTGGTTGATGGTGCTCTACAGAAGCCACGCAGGCCCCCTTTGATAATTGACAAGGTCAGTCACCTTGAATCTGAGAGAATGTCCTTCAGTGTTGTCTCAAGAGTCACCTTGTGAAGTTTGCTCTTGGATGTCTCCTCAAAGTACACCTGTAATGGTAACAAGAGCATAACGCAGTCAAAGTAGTGTAATGTAATAATGGGTTTACGAACTCTGATGTAAATCAATTTAAATCACTTCAACTCTTCTACTATACTTGTGACAGAATTTCTGTACTTCTGTAGCAAATGGTTCAGTAGCTGCTGACCTCAATACTGTCAGGTTTATATTTTCCTTCCACGTCCCATGGTGCTCGCTGGCTTCCAAACATTGCATCAAGATGGTCAGCCAGTCTGTGGGACAGAAACATATAGAGCTGTTAAATCAAGTCAACAGGATTTGGGAATCAGTACAAAAAAAAGTTACCACGGATATATCTTTCTGATTATAAAAATGGTAAACTGACTTTAGTTTTCTTTTCACTTGTTCATAAAGTTTTTTTCAATGTTACCTTGATTCTTCATGGAACTCCTGTATAAAATCAGTCTCCATGTACTCTGGGTACATAAACATCACAGGCCACACCAAGCAGCCATTCTCATCTAAGTACACCTGCAATGTACAAGAATAAACATTTTAACGCTGACTAACTCTAAATGATCAACTTCGATTCAAACACAAAAATAGAAGTACACTGTAAGGAAGTGACAGAGGCAGAGGCTCCAGTTCAATAGCCTAGATACCAGACTTAGCTTCCGTCTACTCTCACTGACTTTCAGGGTGGCATCTTTTTTTTTTTAATTCCAACATGTAATCACCAGACGTGGTGATGACACACTCAAGTTTTTTTCAACTGATATTAATGCCGTCACCAACACAGGGGACAAATACATGACAGGACAATACTCATTTACACCTGAGCTAAGTGAGAAAAGTCGTGTAAAGTGCCTTTCCCAAGGGCACAAGATCGGTGGCATGTCAGGACTCAAACCCGGGAATCTTAGTTGCAAGTTGCGTACTCTGCCGCTATGCCAGACGACCCAACACACATCTTTTGGGAGTGGACTTAAGCTAACAAGGCTAGCATCTAGGCTAACAGCTTATATTTGATATCTCACCTTTGCCCCAGTACTGGGGAAGGAAGCCTCCAGGCTGGCCAGTTGAAGCCGGTCCATGGATTCTGCCACGTCATCCTCGTCACTGGAGTCAGCATTGTCTGGCATCTGGAGCTGGATTCCCCGGGACTGGAACAGTTGTCATCAATTATATTTTTAAAGAAGGCTGTGATGGAATTCCAGGTAGTGTATTTCACAATACAGAGAAGATAAACCTTTAAATAACCTACTTTCAATGGTGATCTCAAATTATATGTTAATCTCAAACTTTTTTCACCATAGCTACTGTTACCGATCAATCTAACACAAAGTAACCCTGAAATGGACATAAGGATTTCTTTCTACCTTAATAGCCTGAAGCAGCCTATTGTGTTGAGCCTTCTGCTTTTTCTCCTGTGCTTGAGCTTTTCTCCTGTCCTTCTCCTGAGATCTCTGACAGAAATACATGTACAAAAAACATGTTGAATAAAATGCCAATAACTATACTATGATTATGAATACAACTGAGACTCACTGACAGAGAATACAACCGAAACTGAACACTGAGCTTTTATGTTGGGTTCTATTTCATACCTTAAGTTTATCTGCCTTTGCACGAAGCTGTTGGATGTTCTTGTCCTCTGGAGTCAAGTAACATTGTTAAGAAATGAACCATCTCTGCAATGATCCTTATCACAACAGTACTAATGGTTTTCTTTAAGGCAAAATAAGGAATATGATTTGTTGTTACCATGTATACTTTGTAACATAGACGACTTCTACACAAAAAGTCTAAACCCATGCAAGCAGTAGGCTGTAAAAAAACTGTGACCATGTATCATACTATATAGTATTGTACTGGCCTTAGTGAAACGTGTAATACATATAAAACAACTTGTCATCTGATACAAAGTCCCTATATAACTGTAACAGTAAAGGATATTCTGAGAAGTTCATCACACCACGTCACAGCATTGGCAAACTGCTTCAACTCCATACAACACAAGGCTCCTGTGGGGATCAACAGCATACAGTCACATGTGGGGATCAACAGCATACAGTCACATTAACACAATCTTCTTATAGGACTATGATTGTTATTTTGTGATTTAGAAAGGAGATTGCTGATGGAAAGACTTTGAGCACTGGAAATGGAAAGACTTAATAAACTGTTCTAGCATGTCAACAGCTGTTTATCATGACTCTGAACTACTCACCCCGATTCAAAGCCTTGACATGGTCAGGTTTGAGTTCTTTTGCCTTGGTAACATCACTAAGGGAAGTCCTATTGTTACCTGCAAATAACATTGGAACATTCAAGCTGTAAGGCATTCATAACTGTGGAACGAAAAGAACTAATAAAAGGAAAATTCATAAAAGGATTTTTTTGTCATTGATGTTAATGATGTATAATACACCAGCTTTGTAAGCACTGATGCAACTACTGAAAATAGAGCATACTGATCAGAAAAACTTGTAACACTAAGCACTGCATATCTAACTGTTGATTACAGCTGTCCAATGAGCGGGCCTCAAACTTTGCTCTCACCTAGATGAAAGTGTGCTGCAGCCCTATTGGTCAGCAGGATGGCATTGACCTCAGGTTTCTCACACTTCTGCTGGAGGCCTAGGGTGTAGGCAATGGTCGCTTTCTTGTACAGCTTCATCTTGAAGTAATGGTTACCCTCATCCTTGAACTGCAGGGCTTTTTCTGAAAAAAAAGGGAGAAGAAACCTCTGTATGCTACTACAATGACAAAGCAGCAAATCTACAAGTATTTCAAATTCAAACAGTTGTAGAACATTGTTGGGAAATGACAATGGGAGAAGAGTTAAGCTAACAAGATGACAGTTGACATCTAATGTTCTTTTTTTTGTCATCTAATGACAGATCAAAAATGTTTGTATATTAATGACATAAAAAACTTACCTTCTGGTGTGTCGCCCTCATCATACTTAATGGCCTGTAGAGCAGCCCAGGCAGGGTACTTCTCTGCATTATCTACATCCTCTGGTGGTTCAGAGCAGAAGGCAGGGTGTTTCTTCATCTCCTACACAGGTAACAACAATGTAACCATCTAGAAACACTCCAGACAACATCAGACAACACTCAAGTCACCAAGTGCACAAATATAATATAATTTTTGAAACCCAGCACCTAGTTCAGTAGTTTAGTAAAATTCAAAGACATGTGCAAGAACTATGACACAACTGATACAAAATTATGTTTTACTAACTTTTAAGGCTAACTTACAACTACGTACGTACTGGTCTGCTTCATCACAAATAAATTCATACTCTTGCGTAAGATACCATGCTTATGTGGGGAGGGGGGGAGAGAGTTGTTAACACTTTTAAAGGATAAAAATGACATTGGAAGTTGTTCTTTTACGTTACCTCTTCCCAGTTATCTGGTGTCCATGCGTCCTTGTCTGGCTTTCTTTTAGGACGAGATTCGACCCACTCTTCAAGCTCTCTGTCCAACCTTTCAATCATTTCGTGCATTTCTTCTTTCCTGGAGGCCGCCATCTTGCCTCATGCACTACGGGTGGAAGAGTCCACTCTTGGAATTAGGGGTGGATTGATTATTTTCTTCCTGTAGAATGTTTTTGGCTGTTCTCAAAATTATAGGCGTTCATCAACCATTTTACTGGTTTTTAAGTGAGAATGATAATGTTATGGTTACCAAATCATGACCAAAATTTGTTTAATGCTTACGTAAGGTGCAGTTTAAAAACAAATCATTAAATTTACAAACCGTTGCTCTCTTGACACTTGACACAACTTTTTCAACATATTGAAAGCTTGTTGTGTAATAGCTGGTATTCTTAATGAAAAAAAATGTTGCGGAATGATGCGCAAATTATATGTTGGAGATTAACAAGAAACAGTGAAGTTTTTAAACTGGCCTGGGAGTAAATCCGAGAGGAATTTTCCCGCGCTTGTGATGACCAATCAGCACGCGGCCCTGACCCACATCCGGGTCCCGCATTCTCCCCAGCACGACTGTAATGGCGGCAAGTTACGTCCTCAGTTGACAAGAGCTCCGGCGCAACAGGTAGATTTTCTGCCGCTCTTCACCCTTAATTCCCCCGATCTCGGGCCTCATTGATAGCTAAGGTGATGATTTTTCAGTTGATGTCGGTTCAATGCAGATCGTCGCCAGGTAAGTCCGCTGTAAACGCTAATACTTCGCTCTACGTGGGACCTTCGATAGGGACCGATATTCGTCGCTGACATGTCGAATTCTGCCGCTTGCGTCGACGATCGCGATCCCAGCGATCAAGTGTTGTATCTCCAGTTTTAAACTCTGTCCTTCAGATAGATTAGTCAAAAGTATTGATATTACGCACTATATGGACGTCGTTCCTTGAGAAAACACATAGTTTGTTGTAGGTTTAAACCGACTGCCGTGTTTTTGAAATCGACCGCAGTGTGTTGGTGAAATCTACTGATACCGTAGGACTGGCGTTAGGAACCCTTGGGACATTTCGCTGTGTCTCGGGGCGATTCTGTAGCGCCAAACACCACAAAGGAGCTACAGTTTTGGATTTGTTTACGGAGATCTGACTATCAGCTCTACTGCACTTAAATCTTGATTGTCCATGATCAGAAGTTGGAGAACACAACGCAATAACTGAGGTGTCTATCTTTGTTGTTGACATGATAGGACATCACATCATGAATATATATATATGTATCGTTTATCAAAGGATAGGTTTTTTCCCGCATTGGTTATGATCATATCAATGGCAAATATGCTCCTTTTGCCTTTTTTGGGTATCTTTCTAACCAATTGTATTAAAATATGTGGCCAATCATTGACTTAAGTATGGAAATCAAAATAGGCATCTCTGTCTTTATACTTGATTTTATCATGACTTATCATTAATTAATGACAGATCATGATATTTGATAATTTGTTACTGATATCTTGTATTCTGTCTTGTGATAGCTGGTGCCACTTTTGTAGTTTCTATTCACTTCTGCTGCAAGTTCTGCATGGTAACCTCATCTACTTCCAAATTCCCAATTTCACAGAGGAGTAAGGGGTAAGGATTTCAACAGACAATGGCCAGGTGTGGTTTTGACATTTTACCTGTTCCCTCCCCTTCCATGAGTGTATGGGTAAGCAGTAATGTACATCTCACTTTCATAGCTTTGTGCGGTGTCCAGGGAAACATGCTGCAGGATATTTGATTGTCAGTTACAGTGAGCTCTCAGCCCTTCCGTGCACAGTGATCCCTGGTATGTGTGCCCAAGCTCTCTTTGTCCCATTTGATCTTTTCCACAAACTGCACGTTTTGGGTTGCACAGCGACCAGCTGGGGTCGGATTGCAGCTTCATTAGTCCCTGGATACCCCAGTATTCATGCCTGGGAAGAAAAAACAGGACTGAACTCAGGAGGAATGTAGATTTGTCAACGGGGCAGTCAGAGGGGCATGGTGTGTGTACAGTCAGACCGTCATGGGGGATGGGATGGAGGGAGAAGTGGTGACAGCACAGAGCACTGTAGTCCACTTGAGAGGGGTAACCCTACCTGCTGTTTAGAGCTTCTGTCTTTTATGTACAGTCAAGGAAAAATGCAACGCCTTGGGGTGATTTTACCAGGGTGAATTTCATCCTGGCGCACGTCCTATTGTCCGGGAGTGCCAGATGAGAAGCTTTGGGTGAGGTCTGGAGGGATGGGTAGTTTAAAGTGACCTTTATGTGGGATAGAAACATGCCCAGTGTTGTGTGTAAACCAACGGCATTACGGCTCAGTAACTCATTACGGTATTAATTTTGTTTGTGGGAGATGTGAGCTGTGTGGATATTTTGGGGTGGTCCCTGGAAGTGTGGCGGTTCCCCATGACTACGCTATCCTAGCCAGTCATCTCAGGGTCTATGTCTGAGGATCTCCATATATCAAACCCAAGTACAGTACTGTATCAGCCTCTACCCAGGGCACCCAGCCAGACAGTTGCACGTTGTACACACATGTCGCAAGTGGGAGGATAGTGGCAGGAAGACCTGGCGCCACTGTAGAAGGAAACCAAGACTCTCGGTCATATTAGATTTGCTTGTTTTATACCCACATGCCACCTAGGATCCCCTGGTACATGTAGGCATCTCTGGACTTCTACAGGAGTGGCTAGCACGTATGTGTTATCTGAGACACACTACTGACTGAATACTCGGTGAAGAAGTGAAGAGTTCAGTAGAGTAGGTTATTGTGGCTGGGTAATACACGTGGTGTCATTATTTCATCACACAATCCTTTGGTTCCTTACTTGTCAATCCCTTGACAGCAGGCAAGTTGATCTTGACAAATGGCAGCTAGACATGAATGGAGATACCCAGGGTTAGTGGGGTGTGACTGAAAAAAGCTGCTGGATACAGGAAGTTTCTGAAAATGATACAGTTGGAAAGGAAAGACAAGGATCTACAATAATATTTGCCTTGCACATTCCTGGTGTTTCACAGCTGAATAAGAATCGCAGGCATTGTAATATTAGAAATGACTGCTGTCTTATATTCAAACTTTCACATATCCCAGATTCCCAGCATACTATATATATATACAGATTAACTATCCAACTTATTGTGTAGAAATGTAGAATGTGTGGATTTATCAATCCTCGTTTTACGATAGCTAAAATTTGTACGTCAAAGGAGAAGAATATCAGAATCATTGAGAAAGTGAGAATGTTTGGAATTTTTTTCCAAGGTGAGCTGGAAAGTTCTCAACTGGTATTGGAATGTATGTGGAAGTACAAAAACCTTGAAACCAGTGTTTGCTTCTACAAAGAATGTAAATTGGCCCATTCAACAGTCAAGTGTTTCTATAACAGATTTACACTTTTTACAACCTTCGTTATGCCTGCGGCTTACAGGTCGGAAAGTCAATTTCAGTGCCCGCGTGATATTTACACGAACAACAGACAACACAGTCCCAACAAGTCTTTGATTCTTCCCCTGTTCATAGGACAAGAGTGAGCAATTCTGTGTACTCAATCGCTACAGGTGTGCTTGTTTTTCTGCAGTGTCGAGCAGGTTTTTGACGTCAAGTGCTCTTTATGAGTTTTACCTTGTCCGTGGGCCAGAACAAGCTAAACGGAACAAGCTGAATGCTTCATTCTTTAGGTCACAACTACCAAGTTCAAGTAACAATTGACGTCTTTGAATATTTCTTATCTATGTTATTTCATCAGGTATTTGTATATGGCAAGGTCAGGTTAAAATACAAGTATCCTTCTGTTCTTGGCTTGCATAATGAAACTGTAGGGATATTGTCTGCAGATGTCAGTTGTACAGTGTAAGAAACTGAGTAGTCCAAATGCATGGTAAGAGGCAATGTATATCATCGTTTGCCTACTACTATTATTAACTATTAATGTATAGTTTGTTTTTTAAAGTTAACAGATAGCTACATTGTACAAAGTGTATTTGTTTTGACTGAGACTAGGATAGTCTTATTATATATTGCCAAAGATATGTCACTACTCACCAGACTTTGTGTTTTAGTATCAATGTAATATCATTGATTAGATTTGCTACAACGTACAAGTGCACAGAACATTTCTAACAAGTTTCCTATCAGGCTATGCTGTACTTGTAAATGTAATGCCTTGTTTTGGTGCAACTTTCCCCATAAAACCCGACACTGCTATCAGTAGATCAGTGTCACCTGTCCCATGTTGTGAGTCCACATCTGGCATCAGACAGTTTTAAGTTTATTTACAAGCCAGCATTTGCACAACCACAAGAACAAACTGTCAGAAAATTACCCGTAATATTACCTTGTCCCAGTCACAGAAATCATGACGATCCGGCATTTGAAGAGAAAATCACCTTTGTTTTCATTCAGTGTTTACATCTGGAGTGGTAGGAACAGCACACCTGCAAGGGAAGAGAGGGTGTTAGCCTGTTAGGTACTGCAAAATTGATTTTATGGAGGACAACAGCCAGTACATTGATTTTCAGTAGTAGTTAAAAGGAATCCAACATTTGCTGGCAAATGCCAAATATTGCCCTGCATCCCTGTCGGTTATTAAAGTGTGTTCTGTTGTCTTTTCGTACTATCTGCAGTGCCTCCTAGCAGAGATGGAGGTATTACAGCCTTCTGATCGTATCCCAATTTTATGCAAAGAAGGTTAATAAATAAGAAACCAACCAATCATTCCAGTAACCTCTTGGTTTGTTATCGGAATTTAGATTCATGTAACATCATGCCCAGCGCCAGAGGGTTGCTCCCCCCAGGAAAATTTAGAAAACTTGACTCTCTGAAACACTGTTTCCTGCATTTTGAGGGGCAAATCTTTCTGGTAGACTAAGCTTAGTTTAATTACATCTCTTTGCACATCTTGATACATTGATTTTTGTCCATGAAAGGTGATGGATGGCAAAATTTGCGCCTGCCATGAGCAGCAAAATCCCGTCTTATGACGGAAAGACACTGGCTAAAACACTGGTTTGAAGTAAATGTCGCTCCTCCCTGCACCTGGGTAAGACAGGGGTGTGTGAGAAAATGTTGAGGCTTGTCAGACAGAAGCAGAGAGCATGTGAGATGTTTACTCAGATGACCCTGCAGAGCGGAGACACTCAGGTTTCTGCTCAGGAATGTTGGGGGAACCACTGAGGTAGCACGTTTCTGCAGTAACATGAACAAGGTTGGGGCGGAGGTTTAGCCTTGGTGTGAATTCGGAGCGAATTCTGCACAAGTTACCAACCCTGAAAGCTTTGCTGCACTCTGGACCCGGTATGTACTGTGTCTGATGTTGTACTAGGTATGTCTTGTCACCCTGTTCACTTCATAAGACATAATCTTCTGATTGTTAAAAGTTTCTTGGCGTGTCGCTAATAGTTATATCATTGTCTCGGACAAATATTGCTGGACTAGAAGTTAAATAAGTGGAATTAGTTTTGACAGTATTGTGTTAAGTGATAAACTTTCTGTACAGTGATACAATAAGAACTTAGCAAGGTCTCCATTTCTCGCCTGGTACAGGCATATGTTGGAGGAACAAATGTATGATTTATTTCTTGTGGAGTGATACAGAGATTTTGTTTGGTAAATAGGTGTTGTATCCTTTTGTACACTCTCAGTCCAGGTACTGCTTTGTTGTAGTTTGTACTGTTTGAAAACATACAAGTTGTGCCAACAGTTTCAGATAGTGTTATCTA